TACTGTTTGCATTAACATTCCATTATTTTTTGTATAATAATTAATAATATTGCAAGTATGTATTTTATATTCTTTTTTGTGTCTGAAGCTTTCTGAGTTTTAAAAATAAGTCAAAATAAAATAAAACTTAAAAAATTAGGTTTATGTAGTTAATAAATTAACGCAGTGAATTCAGTATCTTTTGAATAAATTGATACAAAGTTGTGTAGCTTCTTCAAAAGTTTTAATGAATTGGTTCTTTTTTAAACGGAAGGTAAAAGAAAAGTTAATTTAATTCATAACGTGGATATGCAATAAAGCGATGACCTATACGCTTTTGTAAACTCGAAGTAATTTTGAAGGTGAAGAGAATGTAAAAATTGGTGCTTTATCACGTCTGAAAAAAAGTGGTGCTTTCGTGACGTTTTCAATTTGTCCACAAGCCTGACCCGGAAATTATAGGTTGTCTGACCCGGTGACCCTAGTGATTGGAAACCGTTGAGTGACGAGTTCTCATCAGTGCAACCGTCGGCCCATTAGGGCTCAACTTCATGAAGGTTCTAGAAAGAATGGCTGGGAATCGAGGCGAAGTGTAGTGGAGTCGGAGCTTTAAATGTGAATTCATGGCGGCAATGACCAAGAGCACGCCAGTGCGTTATAGGGTTCTCCAACGACGCACGCTATCTGCACTTCACACTTAATTAAACTTTCCAAACTTCTCGCATCACATGTGTGCTCAATTATATACAACAGTGCTAATTCACTTTACACGTTGCTCGAGCGACGGCTGCCCTAACGTCTTGTTGCGCAAATTAGGTCATTCAAAGACGAGTGGGCTAATGGAAATAGACCGGATTTGTAATTCCGGGTGGTGAGCTTATCGGCGCGGCACAAGTTAGGATTAAAAAAGACGCATTAGGTATGCATTGTGTTGGGGGTTAATGTCATGTGAAAAATACATGATTGTGTTGTATTAATGTGGGTGGAAGATATATGTATTCATGATTCGCAAATGGATTCGAAATTATAATGTTTGGCGTTGGAATGACAGTGACAGGCATGAGGAGAGAGCTTTAGTCGACGAGAATGAGTATGGAGCTTTCGTATTTCCGCCCTCTTATCCGAGTTGCATCTCCTCCCATAACACAAATCAGAAATGTCGACAACACGACTCGACGACGGGTAATACTTATAATTTAAGTTTGATATTGTATGACTCAAACGTAGCGTATTTCGACTGATGCTCGTAAAAAATATACTTCCATAACAGGAATAACAGTTATCAAAAAGTTGCAGGATTTATGGGGGCGATAAAACTCACTCATATCTCGACCACTTGATTTCTAAAAAATTACCCTGAATATGGCGCAAGTAATTTAATAAATGAATTCGAGTAACAAATACCTAATTGCATTGTAGGACTCGTGTAGATGTTACAGTTTTAATTACCGAAACTGACGTTGTTGAGTCAGTTAAAAGGCAACCAGTAACAAAATCGAACGTCATGTCCAGCTTCTGGCACACTCAGAAAAGCAATTAAAAGAAAATCTTTCTGTAATTTCGATTACAGTCGCCAATGCTTTAAAGTAAAAATTGTGCTCATCAGTAAATTAAAAATTTTATTGCCAATAAGGCACACGTTTTCAATGAAAAGCTGTACTCGTAGAGTAATTATGATCAAAAGTTGCTTCATGACATTTCAATGTTCAATAGGAATTTAATTTGCTAAATGTATAATCACTGGTGGATGAAATTGGAACCTAAGATTTAGGTACTACGATTAGAGATATTACGATTCATTGTCTCTCTCTGTATGTTACATCTGCCTTGTTATAGCAAACAATCAAGATTTATCTATGGTCGACATTCATTTCGTTACATTACTTTATCATGTATGGTGCCTATTCAAATTTGCTTTGGCTATTTGATTTTGACGACAAAATGTTGATTTCATCTTTCAATAATAAAATTAATTAATCGTTTCAGCCGTTACAATTTAGACCACACGAATTGATGTCTTCCATTTCGAATATTGGCAAGTTTTGTGTTCGTGATTGTAGTGGATTTGTGAATAATGTAAAATATAATTAGTTAAGTAGTTCTATCTGCTACAAACACGTGACAACAATAAAAATACAGGTGGCAGATTACTCACAACATATTCGTACAAAAGCTTTTTATTAACTTTCACATGAACTTCGTTAAAATTCTTTCATAGATTTAAAAATAGATTTCTTTCCAATAATTTGGTAAATAATGAGTGGTTTGAAGCAACGCCCTTGTAGTAAAAAATACTCTTCATCTTAACGGGTGTTAAATAGCACTCATAACTCAGCCCGTGTGGCAGAGATTCATAAATTCTCTACATGGGGAATACAAGTCATGAACATGCTCATAACAGCAAAAAAATAGATAAGACCAATAGTTTATTGCCAATGATGGTATGACTGAAAACGTAAATAAATCCTGTGGAAAATCAAAAGAAAGTACGCCCCTTAACGTGGATTTACGATACACTTTCCCGCAGTGTTTACACCCCCTCATGTCTTTTTGTTTTGTGCATTCACTTCCACTTGGTTGGTCTGTTGGCAGGAAAGTCGATAAGACCACTGACGTTACATTTTCCCAACTCGGAATAAACGTTTTATTATAACAATGAACCATCACCGCTGTCTCTTTATCAGTTAATTTTATCATAGTGGGTGTATTGATAAAACTTGCCATTTGCTTGGTCTGTATGGAAAATAAAGCAAAGAGACGCCGCATGTTGCGGTATTTACTTGAGTTGTTGCCAACTAGGATTTTGCTTGTTCCAACTGTTGCATCACTTATAAACAAAAATTTGACGTGTGTCATGCTAATAAATATTTATTTGACAAGTTTTTTCTCCTTTATCTATTTCTTTAGAACGATTTTATCTCATGACGAAAACTGTGCAAGTTTTCAGCAATGCATCTTCGTAGCAATGGGAGATGAATTCTACGGAGTAGGTAATTCAAAGTTTGTTCTAAAGCGTTTTTATTACTTTCGATCTTCCAAAGTTATTTATTGAAAACGTCGACAGTAAAGATTTTACTCTGAGACGTTTTGTTGGTGTTTGCGACTTAGATACTTTGAAAAAATGGAACCCTTGTCCTTTCGGTATTAACAAGACTTGCAGTCCAGGATCCAATCAAACTTATTACAATTTTTGCAACATTAATAGCACAGCCTTACAACCTCGATGTAACTGCAAATGTACTTTGAAAAGCCACGAATTGGAGCCAATCCCCAGTAAATATTACCAGAAAAAAAATTCTTTTTAAGTTTTGCAGACTTTCCGACATGTTTGTTGGGTGATCGTTACGGCCGAAGCAAACGTTCTCTTGTATTTCGCCGCATTGCAAGAAGAACCGCCCCGGTGATAAATAACTGCATTCAGTGCATGACAAAACATCCGGTAAAAACGCCTTTACCATACATGCTAACAAATAAATCAAGCGACTTCATTGCAGGATGTTAGAATGGTGAGAGTTGGTCCACTGCTGTGGAGACGAGTTAAACGGGGCGAAATAACGCCATCATCGATTTTGGACCATTTTAGAACTATGTGCATAAATAAGCAATTATATGATATGAACTAACGTTTCATGTTGCAGAAAATACAAGAAATTATTTGACTGTCACCATTCAATACTCGGACCGTAATGTTCAAACGTTATATTATTTTTTAAATGTATAAATTCATTTGCAGCTGTGCATTCAACCGAAAATATCGAAGTCCCGTGCCAGTCAGTGCTAAAAATAGACAGTTTTATAGACACAAACTACCCAACAGTAACTGATAATAACTAATGAAAAGTTGGTTTTAATGAACTCGTTGCAGGCGAGTTGGCTTTAGAGGAGTCTTCAAATAATGCACTGTTTAGAATTTTTAGACAAATTTCGAAAAATAAGCTAGTCAGAAAGCGTAAAAGTGCTTCCCAAGGTATACAAATCTGACGTATCGTAATTTTATTCTCATTAAGTAAATAGGACATGATGATGAGGAAATTGAAGACGACGACGATGAAAATGATGACGATAACATAGGTGAGGACATTGCAATAGAAGAGGATAACGATGAGGAAAATATAGTATCGACAACTGAAATTCCTGAAAAAGACGAAATAAAGCAGCAACTACATGAAAATAAAAATTACAATTTTACTAACAGTGAGGAGGATATCAAGATATCTAAAAATACTTCTGATTCAAGTGGAACTACTATAAAATCAACACAAATCGTATTAGTGTTCACATGCGGTGTGAATATTGTAAATTTGTTTTAAAATAAATATACTCACCAACATCTGTTGTACTTGGTCTCGAACAAATCCGCTTCTTGAAACTTGTTCCGATGCTGCGACAGAAAATGATCCCATATACTGAAAAAAAAAACAATGCAAGTGTAATAACTAATAAAGAAAAACCCAAGGGAAATAAAGCCCTCAAACTATGTTAATCCAAAATAAAAAGCCATGTGGAAGCAGATAGATCAATGCAGTCTATAAATTGCAATTTTATTCGTGCTGAAGCAAAATGATTACAGGGCAGGAATACTGTATTAGAGCTTTACATCACAATAACATAGGTCAAAATTATTGATTAAGTACTAATGACAGACAGTACAACAATAGGTTATCGTTAATTAATAATTGAGAAGTGATTTAACTAAATGTAATGTTGTAGCCAGATGCATTGTATTTATTATAGAGGAAGAAAATTTTGTTTTGAGATTTATCGGATCGGCTTTATAACCCGATTGCAGTATAAAGAAACGCCTTCGGCTGTAATGTTGGACGACAAATCGTAAAACTAAAATAAATTGTGCTCTTAAATTTAATTTTTATAATAAAAACAATTTTATGGCCTTTCGACACTTCCATGCAATAATGTAACACATTTTAACATTTTAAGTTTGACGTCAACGTAAATTATAAATTTATAAACGTTTATTAAAAAATAGTTGGCGAGAGATCCTATTTCCGGTCGCTTCTATCTATATTTCTTTCAACTCAAACTTTAGATTTATACAAACTATACTTAACTATAGCAAAAATTAACGAAAGTTAATTTTTATAAGTCAAATATTTACTATAATACCTTTTACGTAATGTTTTAATGAAAAAGTTGAGTTAGTTGGCAAAGTTCGAGAAATCAATTCTTATTTTAAAGTTTTTCCGGACTGAAGAGCCTTTTTCCATTTTTAAATCAAAGAACGTTGGCGAGTGGCATCCTTTCAAGTTACAGCCGCGGGGTTCTTAAAGTTCCAGAAATAAAGTAGGACTTCAACACAGATTAAGGCACACATGTTGTATATATGGCTTTAACAAAAGCTAATGGACGCACAAACAATGTTGCCTCCAGTTCGCATTTATTTCTTCTGACTTCAAAGCAACAGAGGTCACTGCTTTGGCCACTTCTGACGACGGGGACGGTAAAGATTTCGGACGAACCCGGAGGTGAACATCTCATAAAAAGTTTTAGGTTTTGTATAAAATGTGACAAATTTAAAAATATTTTTTTAAAAAACATAACAAGTAAATCAAACAAACATTTGTAATGCTACATGGTTATTAAAATTAAAACTATTAGTGGGTAATTCACACTTCCAGTATCGGAAATCTATTGTAATGCAAAGCTTGTGTTCAAGTTCAATAATAATAGCAAACAAACAGTAAACCAGAACAATTAAACTAGGTATTGCATTTATAACGATGAAACGTGAAAGCTATTTTAACAGCTAGCTGTGAAGTCTTGTGGTGCCCTCTCTACGGCAGTAGCTTCAACTTTAAGTTTACAGCAATATGCCCGAAACTGTACCCGAAGTTAACCGAAATTACAGTAACTAACCGGAATCAGTTAGTAAAAGTTTGCGTGCTTGCTAGCTATTACAGTCTGCTTTCACACATGTTTTGCTTAATATTCAAGTACGTAAAAGATGTCTCTCAATTCCACAAAAATAAAAATTTGTATCTGAAATTGTTTTGAGGAAACAAATCGTGTTGATACAATGGTTTGTTGCCTGCTGTAGTTAGTAACGTTTCTGAAGTCTAGACTTGCCTTTTTGTCTTTTGAATTTCATTTAAAATATAACTGTCTAAAGTTAGTTTGGCTACTAATAAAGTGCTAGGTAAATAATACTAATTTGCTAGGTAACATATACAGGGTTATTCATAAATATGAAGCAATATTTGAACCTCAAAAGAGTTATAAAATGATGTTAATTTAAATAATAACTCGTGTCCTACATCTCCTCATAAGAATTTTAACAGCCCTCGGAATGTGGGTATGGAAATTTGTTTTTTTTGTAATACCTTCGGAACTATTTGACCAAATGGTATAAAATTTGGAATGGTTATTTGCGAGAATAGTAATTACGAAAACCAAATAGATCTACTTAATTTCCGATTCCAGCAATTGCGGTCATATTTTCTATGTTTTTTTGTTTTTTTGGCCTCTTAACATTTTTTTTTTGGTCAAAACAATAAAGTAATCAATTTTGAACAAAAAACGCAAACCTTTAATATCTCTAAAATGGACCGTTTTAAAGATATTTTAATTTATAGTTTATAGTATATTTATATGAGTGGTAACAAATGACCATGGTCACAGATTTTGCTGTCAGGCATCTGTCAACTTGAGATTGGACGATTGTTAGACGACTAATAATCGAAAGTATTTAATAAAAGAGTTTACCCCAGATTCCAAACATAACTTAGAATAAATCCAAATGGATTTCGTAGCATTTAATTCATAAAAAAATCATAAGAATTTATCGTCAAAGTTAACAGATGCCTGGAAGGGATTTATGTGACCATGGTCATTGGTTGCTATGGATACCACTTATTCAAAATTTAAATTAAAATATCTTTAAAACGGTCCATTTTAGTGGTATAAAAAGTTATGCGTTTTTTAATCGAAATTGATTACTCTTTAGATTTAAGTAATAAAAAATTAGTGTTAAGAGGCCAAAAAAAAAAACGGAAAAACACATAAAATGTGACCTGCAACTGCTGAAACCGAAAACTGAGTAGATGTATCCGATTTTCGTAATTACTAGTTTAAAAGATATGTTCTCGCAAGTAACTATTCCAAATTTTATAATACTTGGTCAAATGGTTCCAAAGTTATTAAATTTCCATACCCACATTCCGAGGACTGTAAAATTCTTTTTATCAATAGAGATCGGACACGAGTTAGGTATTATTTAAATTAACATCATTTTATAGGTCATTTTTGAGGTATAAATATTGCTTCATATTTATGAATAATCCTATATAAGTGCCAAGTAGTAATACTAAGTATTAAAATAAAATTTGGTTGCTAAAATATAGAAAATGTTAGATAAAATAATCTAAATGCTAAGATTTGCTAAGTGTAAAAAAGTGGAACTAATTTTTATATTTTACTCTCTGCCTCTAATGAAATGTATCAATTTTCAGCCTAAACATTTCGTAAAGAATGCATTGGAGCAGTGATTCCAAGTTTTTTTTTATATACGGGGGTTACTAAGGAAAAACTTACATGATTTTTAATTATTATTAACGAAAAATAACACAATTAATAAAAGCTGGAAAGGAAGGATACGACAAAACAAGATACGCCAGGGAAAATTGATATGAGGTTAAACCATTTATTATTTTAGTGAGCAATTGCAATTATTTAATCGTTCTGTTTTTTATTTTGTTAATTATTATAATTATTTCTTCTACTGAACATTTTACTGTTTTTATTGAACTGTTTAAGTACAGTACCATACATTTAATTTTCCTACCTTTTTCTTTGTTCTACTTTGTAACCGCTTTCTGTAATAAAGCTTTTTACATATTTTTATCTAACGTTTAGTATTTTTAAATAGCGTTTACAATTTTAATATTTAATATTTTTGTTTTGTTTAATATTTTTGCCTAAGTAGTTTTACTTATTTGTTCTCATTTAGTTTGAGTTGTTAAAAATTTATATACTACAGGGTGTTTCAGAACTCGCGCCTCAGAGAATTTCCAAGTCAGATAAGACACCGGGAATGGGGCGCAAGTTCTGAGACACCCTCCATTTCTATTAAATAGCTAAAAATGTTAATTTGTATTATTTTATTTTAACAGTTTAGTTTAACAGTTAGGATAAATCCATTTTAAGTTTTGCATTCATGAGCTTAAGCAGAAATACCTACACAATTCCCATTGTTTCCCATTGTTTTAAACAAATATCTCAAAGCGGATTTAATGCAAAATGCTTCATCAAAGCAAAGTAAGCGGATTTTTGTCTATAACAGTTTAATGAGAATTGCGTTGAATATGTTGTGTAGAAGTGTTCTTTTTCATTAAACAAAATTACTGCAATCATTGTCGAAATACTGCAAAAACTGGAAAAACGTGTGAAATCCGTAGTAATTTTGATTTAAGCTGGCCTGCAATGGTGTTCCGTGTAGGTTTCGGGTAAGCCATCAAGTATTCATTTGCAACAAACAACGAGGGAAATGGCCGTGCATGATTTAAAAGGACCGACTTGTTCCAGTAGTGAATGTATGAGTATACATCCGATTTTAATTGTTGCGTCAACCAGTAGTAATTTCCTACGGGATCTGGCAAATGGCGATCTTAATGGTCATCCCATTTTTCCAACGTAATCAGTTAAAATAACAAAATACGTTAAATTGACAAAACAATTTAAAACGTCGGACAATGCACCGTAAACATGATTGGTTTTTCCGCTCCAATCATGTAATAAATATCCTCTCCGGAATCTCGAAAAATAAAAAACGTCTTTGATAATATTGGAAATGTGCGTTTCGAAATTCGGGAATACAATAGATGGACGGACCTATTGTTGACTACCAAGCCTGATTTATTTCAGTGGTGATGTGTGCACGATAATAAAGGAAACACGAAAGCGTTATTATTAAGGTTTCATTTGCTTTGGAAAATACTCACCATTTTCGTCCTATTTTAAATTATTTGTATTATTTTCTGGAATATCTAAGTAGGGAGATGTGCTAACATACAGACAATGATTCATTTAAAGAGACAGATTATAGTACTTCATAAAGAACTGAATTAAAATTTTAAATTTATTTGCGAGAAACTACTGCACTCTAAATCAAAAAGTTTGAAATTTCCTTTAGCACATTGCATTTTGTTTTTGAATTGTGCTCTTTGACTTTCATATAGATATTTTCATAATAAGGAAAAACATAAAAATACTAGGGGTTATTTAAACAATTAATATTTATATATGCAAACTCAGAAGAATACTCTACGTGAAATCCTTTAAATTTTAGTCAGGTTTCA